GTATTTGTGTGTATTGTTTTTGTGTGGTTTACAATTCTTTATTGAAGTGGATTAGTATTATTTTACAGTTAAGTCTTTTTCTTTGCCACTGGTCCATTCCAATCGCTTTGGCACTCGTTAATTGTCTCATTATCATCGGCAGGTCGAAGATTTCCTAAATGATAATCATTTTCAAAAACAATGTTTTGCTTCCTTCGTCACCATTGGGTCAAATAGCACCCACATTCTTGTATTTGAGCCCCACTATTCACATTCTGTTATCATAGAATGTGCCGATTCAAAGGCAGGGAACGCAGTGATGAGCGGAAGTGAACTGTAGACATCCTTGATGGATGAAATTTAGGAGCAGGGTTAGCCATGCGTTGAGCAACGATCGGAATTGCGAGTAGGAATGGGGTCGAGTCCTTTGAGATTTTCAGGGTGAGTCATTTTTTTGCGAATTTTTATTAAAAAAATGTGCGGGATGGTTAAAAAATGGGAGCTTCGCCGTTTTATCTCCCTCGCCCGTTGTTATCTCCTTGCCCCACGGCAACTTGTAGGGGAATTGAGGGAGTAGATGTCGACTAGCATCAGAATCGACTGCTACAGAAACAGACATGATGGTGAGAGCGGGTAGGAGCAGAATCGGCTGTCTATTGGTCAAGATCCAACGGGGAGGGGTTCGTATTTGATCTACGGAGAGGAGGAAGAGGCGACTCGGCGGGCGAGGCCAGCGTGAAGATTGACCCTGATGGGCGTGATGGGGGAAGAGAGTTGGAGTTGCTAGGGGAGACCCCTCCGAGGCTGAAGCCTATCAAAACCTACAAGAGGAGGAAGGGGTCGTGAGAACTTTTGAGTGGACCGAACGGACGGTAACCTTTCTGGAAGTAGGTCCAAAAGACCCTATCGGGTGATCTGATCCGCCAGCGTCCTGAAGACCTTCCACTGACGTCTCCAAATTAGCTCTGACGAATTTAACACGATTGTTTCCATTGAGACAGTCGCACCTTTTTCAAGCGCTTCTTTAACCATGCATTCTCTTTCCTTTTTGAGCTTTTCCAACTTATTCTGCCTACGTTTCCTTCTTTCTTCACGCTCTTTGTCTTCATCATCCTAAAAGAAGGTGGCATGTAACTTTTGCATATCAGAAATCAGGGACAAAGGAGCAGCTTTTGTCATGCATACTTCATCTTCTTTTTTCTCTTCTTTTTTACTAGCATCCTTCTTTTCTGGATCACCAGTTTTCCCATCATCCTTGTCTTTTTCCTTGTCCTTTTCTTTTTCTTCCTTCTTTTCTCCTTCTTTTTGTGATACCTCCTGAATGAATGGAAATTTTGAAACCTAGCATAGACAGGCTGTCAGGTAAATGCTGGACACGCCCGCCGAGTGGGAGAAACCTGTGCTCATGGCCATGGTAGGAGATAGGGGGAGGAGGGGAGGACATTCAAGACAGGGCTGGTAGGTGATGCTAAGACTAAGCCCTGGAGAGGGGGAAACGCCAGGGATATCAAGATATGCTCGGATCCTCCCCCGTATCCCTTTCCCGGCCTTCATGTCTTTGGGGGCAGGACATTCAAAACAGAGCCAATGGTAGGTGAGACTAGGACTAAGCCCAGCAAAGGGAGAAACGCCAGGGAGAACACAAATTGCTCACATGCTCCCCCCAGGATCCCTTCCCCTTCCTAGGGCTTAGTCCCAAGCACATCAATTGGCTCACTCACTTGAATGTCTCCCCTAAGGACATGAGCGCCTACTTCCCTTCTAATTTCATGACCAAATACACGTTTTTACCTTCTTTTCAGTCTTTCCTGTCTTTTCCATATTTTCCTTATCTTTATCCTTATCTTTATCCTTGTCCTTATCCTTATCTTTATCTGCTGCTTTAGCCTCCTGAAACAGTACGTGTTCCATAGGACCGACTCCTCGACCTGCTTCAACCTGGAGCCGTATGCTATCCTTCTCCGAAGCTAGGTGACCAAAATTTCCTTTAAATTTATTTGCTTTGAACGATGTAGTTTCTTCATTTTCAGTGCATGTTTACTTTAACCTACATACATACATTAAATGTAGGCCCTTTATCAGGGCAATCCCAGTTGGGAAGACAGAGAAAATTTAAAGGAATTTTCGTCCCCTAACCCCTTCGGGGAGGATAGCATACGGCCCCTAATCTCCCTACATCTATCGAGTGCTTTAACTTTTCTGCGGTACAACCCATTACCCAAACGGGTAGCGCACCTATTGCAATCGAATCGCCCCATCCTAGACTTACTCATTGGCTTGAAACATGGTTAGGGAAACTCACGCCCGGCTTGTCAGTTGCGGGTGTTGCTGAAAAGTTTACTTATCAGCTATCTTTCGAAACTAAAAGTTGAATTTGGCGCTAGTGAACTTAGGGGTGGGGACACCGCGTTGGAGCGTTCAGAGTTGGCGATCGTGCGTGCGATTAGGCGAGTAGGCGATGGGCGGGAAGACCACATACGTATTGATTGGTTTGCTCCGCCCATAGAGCGTTGTAGGCGAGTAGGCGATTAGGCGATCGCTCAATGGGCGGAGCAACAAATCAATACGTATCCTTCTCTTATCGCCTAATCGCCTAATCGCTCGCATAATCGCCAACTATGAACACTCCATACGCGGGCTGATCCACGGAGGAGAGGATGAGCTTACTGAGAAAATGACCCCCTCCCCTCTCAAGTACCCTTTAAGGCTCAGCCCTGGTGGGTACTTGGGGAGGGAAATGCTTGGAGTGTTGAGCTTGCTGCTACTGATGGCATTCCCCCCCCCCTTAGTGCACCAACGCTCGAATTCAAACACGTGTAGAGTATTTCTAAACTGACTACTAATGTACCTGAGGCCGTTTTTCCTGCTGCCTTCCTCTTCTCTGAAAAAAACATGCCTTCAGAGCTACGATTGAATAAGCCGAGAAAATTGACTCACCTTTGATTTCCTTTTAGTTTTTTACAATAAATTAGACCATTTAATGAAAGAAGTAATACCCAAAGCAAAAGATATATGACCATTTTTACTGAAAAACTACAGCAAAGTCCACGTTAGACTCTTGTTTTGTTGCCAATAGAGACCAACAGAGAAAAGCAGTGAAGGACTCACGTAGGAGTACTAACTGAGCCGGTTAGTACCGACCGAGTACCGAGTCAGTGTTAATTAATATGCTGCACCCTCAATCAACAGGAATGAATGGTAGCAATTCGACACTATCATTCCTAATCAGTCGTGATGTACTCGAGAATTATAATCTGGTAGGTCCGATCATACATCTTCTTTCTTCCATGATCCTACTACCCATGCCCTAAACGCTAGGCTTGGGCTTATCATGCG